ATGTAGCAGGATATAAAATTAACATATAAAACACTATTTCTTTTATATACCAACAGTGAACAGGCTAAGAACAAAATCACGGAAATAATTCCATTCACACTAGCCTCAAAAAATAATAAAATAACTAGGAATAAACTTAACTAAGGAGGTAAAACACCTCTAACAATGAAAAATTTAAAATCTGGAGGAAAGAATTGAAGAAGACACCAGAAGATGGAACGACCTCATGTTCATGGAATGGAAAAATTAATATTGTGAGAATGACTGTACTACCAAAAGCAATCATCAGTTCAATGGAATCCCCATCAAAAGCCCAGTGTTATTCTTTGCATAAATAGATAAATCAATCCAAACATACATATGGAAACATAAACGACCTTGAATAGCAAAAGCATTCCTGAAACAAAAGCATGGCTGTATGTATCACAATGTTGGACTTTAAATTATACGTCAGAGCCAAAGTAACAAAAACAGCATGGTATTGGCACAAAACAGATATGAAGACCGACGGGGCAGAATAGAAGACCCACAAATAAAGCCATACAGCTACAGCCATCTGCTTTTTGATAAAGGATCCTAAAACATACATTGGAGAAAAGATAGCCTCTTTAACAAATGGTGCTGGGAAAACTGGTTATCTATAAGCAAAAGACTGAAACTAGACTCACCTATCACTTTTTATAAAAATCAATTCAAAATGTATCAAAGGTCTTAACATAAGATCTGAAACCCTTAAACTACTACGGGAAAACTCTGGAAGATATAGGCAAAGGCAATTATTTTCTGAATAGGACTTCAGTTGCCCAGGAAATAAGAGCAGAAATTGATCTATGGAATTGCATCAAATTAAAAAGCTTCTACACATCGAAGGAAACAATAACCCGGATCAAGAGATATTGTACAGAATGAAAGAAAATCTTCACCAGCTATTCAACAGATAAAGGATCAATATCAAGAATATTCAAAAAGCTCAAAAAAATAAAGAGCAAAATAACATATAATCCAATCAACAAATGGGTAAGTGAATTAAGTGGCCAGACATTTCTGAGAAGTAAAAATTGCTGATACACACATGAAGAAAGTGTCAACATCCTTAGCAATGCAAGAAATGCAGTTCAGAACTACCCTGAAGCCGGTGTGATGTTTCAAGCTTGAAATCGTAACTGTTTGGGAGGCAGAGATTGGGAGGATTGCAGTTTTATGCCACCCCAGGCAAAAAGTTCTCCAGATCCCAATGGCTGAGCACATGGCATATGACTGTCATCCAAGTTTCATGGGGGAGCACAAACAGGAGGGTCAGAGTCCAGGACAGCCTGGTCATAAAGCAAGACTCTACCTCAAGAATAACCAATGCAAAAAAGGCTGGCAGAATAGCTCAAGTGGTAGAGTGCCTGCCTAGAAAGCAAAAGGCCCTGAGTTCAACCCTTAGTACTACTCCCAAAACCAAACCAAACCAAACAAAACAACAAAACAAAATCCCTACACTGAGATTCCATCTCATCTCAGCCAAAATGGCAATCACCAAGGAAACAACAAATGGGGGTGGGAAAAGGAACCGTCATACATTGTTGGTGAGAGTGTAAACTAGTACAACCACTATGGAAATCATTGTGGAGGTTCATCCAAAAACTAAAAGCAGTGCAAATCAACGTACAATAGAGATATCTGCAGAAGTCACACTCTCCACAATAGGCAAGTTATGGAATCGGTCCAAGTGACCAATGGCTACCAATGAATGGGTGTTACAATACACTATTATATATAGTATTATTCACCATAAAGAAAAATGACATTATGTCCTTTGCAGGAAAATGGATGGAACTGGAGATTATCATGTTGAGTGAGATAATCCAAGCTCAAAAAAGTGAAATGTTACATGTTTTTGCTCATATGTGGTATCTAGACCTAAAATGGTGATAATGGGACCTGGGTACAAAAGGAGAACTGTCTGGAATCAGTGAGAGGGAGATGGGAAAAGGAGAGGTACTCAGTAGTAAAGAAGATTGAAGTACATTACATATATAAATATTACATATATTACATGTATATTACACATATATTGTATGTTATACACAAATATATATATATAAAGACAGCATAATCAAACCTACCACCACCAAACACTGTTTGAAAAGTAGGGGAGGCTTTAAGGGAATATAATAGAAGGGGTGAACTTGTTTAAAGTACACTATGTATCTGTGGCATTAAATCCCCTTGTAATGAAAGTCATATGTATATTAAATACATTTTTATGCTTTTGTCTTGATTTCTTTCAAAATAGGATCCTCTATTAGTGAGCCATATTGTGCACTGATCTACTTTGAAAAAATTTTTGTGCATACTTTAGTATCACTGCAAATATTGCTCCATTGTCTTCTAGCTACAAAAACTGCCACGAGAAGGTCAGAGGTTGCTTTTGTCCTGTTTCTTTCTCTGTCTTTTTTTTAGTGGGACTGGGGTTTTAACTCAGGGCTTTGCACTTGTAAAGCAGGCAAGGCTTGAGCTATGCCTCCAGTCTGTTAAAATTTCTTATGTTAACTTGATTCTTGAGTCCAACCAACACACTAGGAAAATGGAGGAAACAGCATAAATACCAAAACTAATGCAGTTTCAACAGATGCTGTGAGGATGAAAGTCATACGTGAAGCTAGGAAGGCAGAAGCTTTGGACTCTTAAAATCCTGGGATTCTACCATGTCTTCTCTATACTACAAATCTTTGGACTTATTTTTTATGTGAGAAAAAGAAAATTTTACTTATGCAACACTTTGTATGATAAACTCTTAACAGCTAAATGTGCTTCCTAGCTGATTTTGACAAATGATGTACTATAAAGTCATTCATTAAAATGGTGACTATTGCTGGAGAAATGAGAATGAAAAGAGTTGGAACAAAAGTTCTTATTTGTATAGAATTAAGTTTGCTATGTTACAAATGGGCAGCTGGAATATTTGTACCTGTATTTGTCTAGAAGAACTCATTACTTAGAGTGATTCATTTTAGTGCCTATGAAATATTATGGCCATATGTGCACATCCATTTTTTTTTCTGAACTTGAGGTAGAGCAATGACTAGAGATTGGTTGTGAGTTTTAAGTATAATCTATCTGATTTCACTTCTAAATCATTGTTATTATCATACTTCTGATTAATTAGTGACTTTATTCTACAACACTACAGGCAATTTTCTCAACAGAGGATTCTTCCAGATTTGCTACTAATGAGTAACTTTGGGGACTGGGTCTCAATGGCCAAGGAAGATTTCTTTTACAGTCAAACCCCTTCTAATCACAAGAGAGATAAGATAGGTAATGCTTGGCTTCCAAACTGCATCATTTCTTCCTTCCTATGTAACTTCAGCAAGGTAGGCAGAGGGCTTGGAATCTCTTCTGTCCCACCTGTTCACCAAGAGTAGACATTTCTACGGTCATCACGCATGAAGTGGAAATCGGGGAAGCCAATAGGTAAGTGTGAAATGTGGCATTTGACAGAGTCATGGGTTCATATTTCAGGCTGAAATGGACATTTCACTTGTGTATCTGTTTTCAACATTGTAGGTAAATCAATCTTGCTGAAAAAACATCTTTCCTGGTAAAAATTGCTTCTGTGGAAATTTCTACTAGGAATTTATATATATATATATATATATACACACACACACACATATATATATATATATGCATCTAGAGTTGAGGAAAGAAATTGGATTTAAAAAACCTGAGAGTTATTTGTTCATAGATATTTTAAGTATGAAACTGAAAATAGAGGAGAGGAAGAAAAAGTGACTTAAAAAGAAGAGAAAAAACTGGCCAAGGAGACTGAGGAGTCAGTGAGATCACTGATAACCCAAGACAATACAGTGGATAACCTATAAGCAAGACAATACAATGGATAACCTATAAGTTTAAGTGGATAAACCTAAAAGTGTTTGAAGTTGAGAGATCAAGTAGCAACTTAAGGACTGAAAAGTTAACTTTGATATTGACAAAAGTTATTTTGGTATAATTGTAAAAGTAAAAGATTGATTTAAGTACATTAGGAAGAGGAAGAAATGAGAATGTTATGAGGGGGAATATGATCAAAGTACATTATATGCATGTATGAAAACAAAATAATTAAAACTATAAAAAGGAGGAAGGGGGATAAAGGGAGAGCAAATATGATCAAAGTATATTATATGGAAATATCACAAAAACCCATTGTACAATGAAAAATAAAATTTAAAAAAGAGAGTTCAAGAGAGCACAGAAAATCAAATAATTCGATTAGAAAGTAATAAGTGATGAAGACAAGGAGGTTTTTTAAAAAATGTATTTGTCTTTTTTTTTTTTTTTTGCAGTACTGGGGTTTGAACTCAGGGACTATACCTTGAGCCACTCCACCAACACTTTTTTTGTGAAGACTTTTTTTTTTTTGAGATAGGGTTTTGCATACTATTTGCCCAGGCTGACTTCGAACCACGATCCTCCTGATCTTTGCCTCCTGAGTGTACCTAGGATTACAGGAGTGAGCCACTGGTGCCTGGCTATATTTGTTAGTAATAAGCAGAAAAGTGGGGCAACGGCTGTACAAGGATGGGAGTATATCAGGATATTAGGATATAGTCCATCTGAGTCTAAAATTTTAGAGATAGATAGTATCTCACAACTCAAAGATGCTGAAATATTATTGAGAATATCTCAGTACTGAGTCACACTTGCTCTGAGATCCAATGCGAACCACATATTTTTTTAGATGAACAACTTGGAGGTGGATATAATAGCAGTAAAAATATTCAAGCAGAAATCATCATGAAGATCCAATGTAGAGGGAAAAGCGAAAGCATCCACAGGGTCTAGGCTGAAGTAAGTATTGTCCTAAAGAGATGAAAGTATAAAGGTAAACTTAATCTTACATGAGAAGAGGAAGCTTCTCATTCCCAATAAAAAGGGGAAGAAAGATAAAATAGATGTGAGAGAATGACAGAGGTAGAATTGATAGGATGTTCCACATTTTTAATTCAATGCAGCCGACTAGCAACATCAGCAGGTTAGAAATGCAAATTCTCATGTCGCTCTTCAGATTTGCTAAATCAGAATCTCTGGGGGGAGGGGGTGTCAGATCCAGTGACTTAACTAGGTTTCCAGGTGGTTCTTAAGTACCTGAAAGTTTGAGATGCTCAGTTCTCAAGTATTCAAAAAATGCTCTGTATGTTTATTGCAGTATTATTTACAACAGCCAAGCTTTGGAAGAAGCCCAGTTGCCCCATGACTGATGAATGGATTAAGAAAATGTAATATATATACACAGTGGAGTTTTATTCCACCATAAAGAAGAATGAAATCATGTTGTTTGCAGGTAAATGGATGAATGGATGGAACTGGAGAACATCATATTAAGCAAAGTAAGTTAGGCTCAAAAGGTCAAAGGTCATATGTTTTCCCACATATATGGGAAGCTAGACCTATAAGTTAAGTGTATATATAGAAACATATGATTATATATGTGTGTGTGTATATATATATATATATATATACACACACACATATATAATGAGAGAGAACAAAATTGTATTAGTGAATCTGTCTGAGGGGACTACAAGAGGCAGGAGAGACACAGAAAATGTTAGAGAATGAAAAATACTGAAGCAACCCATATATATATATACATATGTATATAATAGGAAGCACTGTACTCTAAACTGTGGGGAGAATGGTGATAGAGAATGAGTAAGTAATGAGGGGGGAGGGAATTAATTTGATTAAAGCACAATATATACTGGCCTGAAGTACCAAGGCGAAATCCCCTTGGACTATCAGTATACACTTACAAAAACGAAGGGTAAGAGGAGAATAATAGGTCTTTTCTGGGGGTCGGCATCAGGGGGAGGGGAGTGGGCACAAGGAAAAGGGCACAAGGAATGGAGTGAATATGGTGGATGTATTTCATATTCATATACGAAGATAAAAGAATAGAACCTGTTGAAATTGTTCTAAGAAGGGAGAAAATAACCTCTTTTCTTTGTAATTTATTAATCTGTGGTATTATATTAATGGCAACAATAAACAGACAAAAACAGAAAATTGATACTGAGAAGTGGGACTGTTGCTAACAGCAAATACTGTGGAATGTGGAAGTGGCTTTGAAACTGAGTAATGGTTAAGGTTGGAAGAGTTTGGAGGGGCAGGTTAGAAAATGCCTACATTACTATGAATGGAGTATTTGGGGAGTAATTCTGGTGGCGCCTCACAAGAAAACAAGAAGACCAGGGAGGAGCTAGAATATCTTAGAGATAAATGATCTTGAGCAGAATGCTGGTGCAAATAAGTATTTCAATGGAAATTTTAATAAAGGCCACCCTTTTAAAGAACTTAACTGACCAAAATTTAAAATGATGAACATAGAGATATGACAGAGAAAATATTTAAGCAACAAAGAATTCAGGGTTTCTGGTCAATTTTAACTGTATGGGAGAGAATTCAGGAGTAAAATGGAGTAACCTAAAGGTAGAATGCAGCTATCCTTATCTCAACCAGCAAAAACCCTTGTTCCTTCCTATTATTGCTTATACTCTCTCTACAACAAAATTAGAAATAAGGGCAAAATGGTTTCTGCTGGGTATTGAGGGGGTGGGGGGGGAGAGGGAGGGGGCGGAGTGGGTGGTAAGGGAGGGGGTGGAGGCAGGGGGGAGAAATGACCCAAGCCTTGTATGCACATATGAATAATAAAATTTAAAAAAATGATAATAATGAAGTAGAAAAAAAAAAAAAGAAAGGAAAACAAAAATATCTGAAAAATTCAAAGCCTGACCAGGAAAGGATGAAGTAAAAGCATGGAAAGGGTCTGTTCCAGCAACCACTTGCTAAAGAGATTACCATGCATAAATGAGAACCAAGTGCTCAAATCTCCTTTACCCAGAAGAATGGGAAAAAGGCCCCAGAGGACATCTCCCATAACAAGCACAGATGCCTAAAATGGCAGAAATAGTTCAGGAAACAGACCCAAGTTCTCTCCATGGGTTTTCTGCTCATGACCATTTTGGGGTTTGGTTCCTTGCTCTCTGGGGAAGTGTACTATAGCATGACTCCTACTGCTGCCTGAAGAGAGCGAGTGGCAGACCTTGGTATCCATGTGGTGTTGATTTTATAGGCAGGCAGAGTACAAGAGCCATGGGTCATGAAGAATTTCACCAAGAGTTCAAAGGAAAGCCTGGAGGCCAGGCACACGACTGAGACAGGGGCAGAGCTACACAGAGAGCCCCACTGGGACAATGCCCATTGAAGCCATAGGAACGGAACTGCCAACAAGACCCTAGAACCACAGCCTGGGATTGCTACAGTCAGGAGACTCCAAAGAAAACCAGAGGGTGGAATAAGCCCAGCAAAGTCATAAGATTGAAGCTACTTGAGATCTTCATAGGACCAACCCCTTCTCTAATGGGCAAAAAAATCCCAGACATGTCTGTCTGCTGGAGTTGGGATTCCCTTTGGGATGGTTACTCCTTTATATTTGTCTATTTCTCTCTTTTGGAATGGTAATGAATGCCCTGTACTAGTCTCACCATTGACTATTGGCTTCTTTTGATTTATTTGTTCACAGTTGGAATGAGTTAGGCTTGAGTCTCAGAGGGGACCCAGGATTTTGTATTTTTAATTCATACTGCAAAATTCAGACTTAAGATTATTTAGATTGAATACTTATATTTTGTACATGAGAAGGATGTGAGTTCAAGGGTCCAAGGTGGTTTACTAAATTTTAAGTATGGTTTGTCACCTCCAAAATGCCATGAAACTCTATTTTAGAGATTAATTCCCATTGTGAGATATTAAGAAGGTGCAAGCTTAGCCTGAGTACATGTTAGGAGGTGGAAGGTCTTTAGAATTAGATAAGGTCATCAGGGTGGAGGCCCCATGAATGAATGAACACTGGTGACTTTATAAGAACAGAGCAACTGGCATACACACACACACACACACACACACACACACACACGTGTGTGCACACAATCACTGTCTCTTGCCATATCAGTGCCCCACCCACATTGGGACTCTGCCTCCAAAGCCATCACCACATGCAGGGCCTGAACCTTAGACCAGAACTATGAGCCAAAACAAATCTTTTTTTTCCTTTATAACTTAGCCAGTCAATGGCATTGTATTATTACTGACAGGAAACAGATCATTCTGATTAGTAGTTGCCTAAGAATGAAGGGAAGGAAGATGATAGACTTTGAGGGAACAAAACACAGCCCTGTGGCTTGGTAGCAGAGAAGCAGTCAATTGTGGAGCGAGATAAGGCTGATGAGGTATGTCGAAGTCAAAATACACTAAACTTTAGAAGCCCTATTAGGGACTGTGACTCTTTCATAAGTGAAATGGTTGCCTATGTAGCCACACTTAAATAAACAAGAGACATAGTTGTATTTTCTTTTTCAAAAAGATATTTTAGCTGTAATGTGAACAATCTATTAGATGGGGCAACAGTAGGCATGGTAAACCAGTTAGCAGGGGGTGTGGCTCAAGAGGTAGAGCACCTGCTTAGCAAGTATGAGGCCCTGAGTTCAAACCATAGTCTTACTAAAAAGAGATTCACAAGCAAATAGTTATGCCATCACATAATACAAAGTTTAATAAAAACAGCTCTTTCACATCTTGAGAATTGTAGGAAGCATGTTCTTTTACTCCATTGTCTTTGTGTCTCCTCAAAGGGCCATCCTTTGTGCATTCCAACTCTTTCTCCTCTCATTACTTCTTTAGTTTCTATTTCTCAGTTGGTGATGTAAGGGAGACCCACTGCCAAGGGGCAAGATCCAGGTTGCTGTCAAACCCGGTGTCTGCAGTGAGTGAATCCTCTTCATACCAATTCTTTCATGAAGCACAAGAATGAACTGCAACCAGACTCCTGACTTCGTCCTCTCAGGATTGTCCAGTGACCTAGAGAAATGGCAATTCCTCTTTAGTATCTTCCTGGCTCTCTTCCTACTTGGCCTCCTAGGGAATCTGCTACTTTTGCTGGCTATTGGTGCTGACATACACCTCCATACTCCCATGTACTTTTTCCTCAGCCAGCTGTCCCTGGTAGATCTCTGCTTCATCACTACTACAGTCCCTAAAATGCTAGAGGATTTGTGGACCAGTGATGGATCCATCTCATTCTCTGGGTGTCTTACTCAACTATACTTCTTTGCTGTTTTTGCTGACATGGACAACTTACTTTTAGCCATCATGGCTATTGACCGCTATGCTGCCATTTGTCATCCACTGCACTACCCACTCCTAATGACTTCTTGCAGATGTGGGGTTTTGGTTGGTGGATCATGGGGAGTGGCCCACTGTGTGTCTCTGGTCCATACCTTGTTGTTATCCCAGCTATCTTTCCATACCAATCAAGAGATTCCTCATTTTTTCTGTGATTTTGGTCCACTCTTATCGCTTTCTTGCTCTGATACCTACCTCAATAAGGATCTGACGATGGCTTTGGCTGGGGTTTTTGGAATCAGTGCTCTCCTCTGCATTGTAAGTTCTTATGCCCATATTTTCCATGCTGTGGCTAGGGTTCCATCAGCACAGGGACAAAGGAAAGCCTTGGCAACATGCAGTTCCCATCTCTCTATGGTCATCCTCTTCTACAGCACAGTCTTTGCCACCTACCTAAAGCCTCCATCAACTTCTTACTCCTTGGGGGAGCTGGTTGCTGCAGTCATGTATACTCTGGTAACTCCCACTCTAAACCCTTTCATTTATAGTCTGAGAAATAAGGATGTGAAGAGTTCATTGAGAAGGATACTAGCCATGAAGAGTATTCCTCATGATTAGGAATCATTCCCTTAACCAAAAACTCTTTAGAGGATCACTCCCAACATTATTACATTTACAAAATGAGCCAGTTAACACTACCATCCTCGTGGAGCATTACATGATCTGTTGTAAAGGATACTGGATTGGATTAGCTGTTCTTTAAATTACCTCCACTTGTTTTTTTTGTTTGGTGGTGGTACTGGGGCTTAAACTCAGGGCCTTGTGCTTGCTAGGCAAGTGGTGCTCTATATTTGAGCCACTCCACCAGCCTAAATTGCCTTCAGATACTAATATTGTTGAAACTTGATAACCACTGCAACTGTTTTGATAACCATTAGCATTTCTATGAGTGGTTTAATAATAAAACTCTCCACCATTCCTTTTTTTAATCCATTATGATTTATTCTCTACAATACTTCGTTAAAGAATTAAATGATTTGCCCCACTATTACTTTTACTATAGTAAATACTATCACTTTTTGTGGTACTGGGGTTTAACTTATGGCCTTATACTTGTTAGGCAGGTGCTCTACCACTTGAGTTATGCCACAAGCCCATAAACACCATCTTTGATGTTATCAAAAAATGTTACCATTTTCGATACAATCTCTAACAACATCATAAGTACCAGGACTCTTAATAAAAGAAAGAAATCTGGGTCAATGGATTTTCCCTTAATCGTTCACTTTTCAAATGTTTTATGTATTTGTGTGTGCTTCTGCTATGCTTGAGAGTTTCTGGAGTGTTTTGATTCTCAGGCTGAGAATTGGAAGAGAGCTAAAAATAGTAGAATTTTAAAAATACCCTTTTCTGGTAACAGTAAAAAAGAATATTTCTTACACGTGTTTATGTGTCTGTTAAATTTATTCTAAAAACATAAAGTGGCCAATGCATCATTCAGTGAATGAATTTTTTTTGCAAGTATTATCTCCCATTCTGTGCATTGTTTCTTTCATTTTCTTTTTTTAAATAATTTTTTATTAGGATATATTCATTATACAGGGGGTGATTCATAGTGACAATTCTGATAAGACTTTTATTGTACATTATTTACATTGCCCCATTGTCTCCCTCTCAACTCTCTCCCCGCCCCACTTAAAGCAATTGCGAGAAGTTTCTTAGTTCTGATTAATATAGGTATATGAACTCCATCCACCATATACTGTCATCTTAATCTCCTTCCTTCACCCTCCCCGTACCCCCCGCACTGTACCTATTTTGCAGTTGATGTTGAAAGGGGTGTCTCAATGTATGGCCACTGTGGGTATACTTTACTTTGGTCCATTCAATCCCTTCCATTACTCTCCCTTACCCCTTTACCTCCCAACCCCCATTTTTCAACAGCTTTCAGTATATATCCTTATATCTTCTACCTTCACATCTTACGTTATGCAATATTACTGATGCTCTATCATTCTCTTTTCCTTTCCCTCTTCCCTGAGTTCCCTAGAGTAGTTCCACTGTCACAAACATGTTCTACATATTAATTTGTATATGACCATGCTTGTTTTTGTGTATGTGTTTATCTTTGGATCTATCTTCCACGTATGAGAGAAAATGTGGCTTTTGTGTTTCTGATCCTGGCTTACTTCACATAACACAATGTCCTCCAATTGCATCCATTTACCTTCAAATCACATGTCATTATTCCTTACGGCCGAGTAATGCTCCATTGTGTATATATACCACAATTTCTTGATCCATTCATCAGTTGTAGTGCACCAGGGTTGTTTCTAAACCTTGGCTATTGCAAACAGTGCTGCAATGAACTTCAGTGTGCAGGTGTCTCTACTGTATCCTGTCTTATGTTCCTTTGGGTAGATGCTCAGGAGCAGTATCACTGGATCATATGGCTATTCTACTTCTAGTTTTTTGAGGAAGCTCCATACTGCTTTGTATACTGGTTGTACTAATTTTCATTCTCACCAGCAATGTATAGGGTTCCTGTTTGGCCACATCTTTGCCAGCATTTGTTGTTATTACCTTGATTATGGCCATTCTAACTAGGGTGAGATGAAATCTAATTGTCGTTTTGATTTGCATCTCTTTTATAACCAGGGAAGTTGAATACTTCTTCAGGTATTTATTGGCCACTGAATTCTTTGAACTATAGCCTGGCAAAGGGTAATATAGAAAAAGGATTTTTTGCATTACATTATAAAGAGAACACACCCTAACTACTTTAGTCACTATCATATTCTTTGCTTATCTTCCTGTGTATACAATGTAATATGTCAAAGCAGAGACTATGTATTGTGTTAATTTGTACCATCCACTATATTTAATGTTATTGAATGTTGTCAATTATAGGATCTGCTAAAACACTTGATGATTAATTCTATTGAGAACAATTGGATGCATAGGTTAGATATAACTCTGCCTTAGGAAGAATACTCTTGGACCTCTCAGACTGGATTCTCTTTTAAGCATCTACATCTGACCTGTGCTTAGTGTAGATTTTCCTCCTGTATCATCTAGAAGTTAATGCTTTCTTTCCAATTCTAATCTGTCAAGTTTTCACAGCATGTGGTCAGAAATTATTTTCAAGTAAATTTTAACTAAATGGATAATCCAATTTGATATACCCTCTGGTCTTACAAACCAACTCTTCTGTTCTTCAGGATGGGGTAAATACAAATGTTTTTCTCTTTCTATGGTTATATATCTTTCGTCTGGACACTGGATGCTACTGAACAACGATATGTCAAAAGGAAGCTAACCTTTGGAGAATGGTGGAGGTGACAGAGGCCAAACCTGAATAAGAGATTAGGAAACTGGTTAGGGTGATAATAACCAGGGCAGAAGTAATAGAATAAGATACATTAGTTCTTCATTCTGCATGAGGAAATTGTTTTCAGGAAGTGGAAAGGAGGTAATACATGATTGTGATCTCTGAAGAAAAGGATGCTCACAGGTGAGCCATATAATCTCCCAGGTCTTACTCTGGAGAAAGTTTTCTTACTACAGTCCAAAGAAATGAAGTCCAAGCAGAAAATCACGGGCAGTCTCACAGATCTGTCAAAACAGAAATCAGAGTGGCTTTGGGGCAACTGGAACAACCAGGAGCCAGGAAATGGGGCATTAGAGAGGAGGGAGATGCACTTCAGAGGTTTTGATGAAGTGATGTGTGAGCAGTGACTGGATGTGAACGGCAAGAGTGTCTGAAGCTTACCAAAGAGAATCTGTTTCAGGATTGAAAAGAAATAGATACTAGACGTGGATCAGGCTTGAGGTAGAGAAGCACCAGAAGAGTACATTCTGCCTGGCTGAAGTTTAAAAATTGCATTAGCATATCATTAATACATCACCTAGTAGAGACACAAAGAAGCCAGGATATAGGAAGGATGACCACATGCTTGAGTAAGACTCTGTGAGACACAGAACAAAACTGAAAACAATGTCAATTGGCAAGATAGAAATTGGAGGTTAAGTAATACCGAGTTAGACAGGCTTTCAAAACACCTTGGACTTTTCACATAGCACTACTGCCAAAGCATAAAACCAAATCTACCCAAGTTCAAGATGATCCTCTTTGAACAGAATGCTTGCTAGACAAAAACTAGTATTCTTCAGACTCTGATAATAGAATACATATCTCTACAATATCCTGTATTAGACTAAAAATTTTATCAGTCATACAAAGACATGTGAAAAATCTGAGTAGTACTTCAGGAAAAAGAAGTAAATGATAAATGAACATGATATGGCCTAGAGGCAGGACTCCTCAAATAAAGATTTTACAACAGCTACTTATAAATATATTCTAAACATTAAGGCAAAATATATTGAAAGAACTAAATAACTGTAGGCATCAATCATAAACTTTTATCAATGGATGATAAAAATATTGTTTGAAAGGCTAACTGGAAGATAAATAAAAATTGGATCAGATTGATACCACCTCAATTCACTGATCAATAATATAAATTGAGTCACTAGAAGTGAGACAATGCAACATTGTGTGTCTCATGACATGATGCAATAAAAAATTCCAACCTTGGTATATTTCTTGCTGCAAAAAGATCAAATGATGCTTCCATCTCAGTATCTGTTTCTATTAGAAAGACATGTGGATAGATCAAAATTAAACAAACCCATAAGAAATAAATCCTATATAAAATACTGAACTTTCTACCACACTGATAAATTTCTCCAATAAGTCAATGTCAGGAAAAAAGTCAGGGGAGGTGTGCTGTGTTATGAAGAGACTAGGAATAAAACACATTAACACAAAGTGTAAACCTTATTTAGGTCCTAATTTTAAAAAATTGCTTAAAGATCAATAGAGAGATTTGAACATGTCTTGTGTACTAGATGAAGGAAACATTGATAATTGTGTTAAGTATGGCCAGATATGTATGTTTTTAAAAACTATCTTTATACATGAGAGAAGATACTAAATATTTACATGTGGAACATGCAATTTAAACAATGCACGCAATACTTACACAGTATCTGGAATTTGGATTAAAATTTTCTAGCAAGAAAACAAATAAGAAACTAATGATAGATAAAGACAGCAATATTTAAAATGGGGACTTTCCATGTTTTCTCTCTACTTTTGCCTAGGTCTGAATTTTCTACAAAAAGATGAACAATAAATAAGTAAAGTAAATCCACTTCTTACCTTTAAAAATGTACATATCCTTAGACCTAACAATTTATATCCTAAAAAATTGTCATAGGAAAATTTTGAAATGCTACACAACAGCAATATAAATAAGTAATGTTTCTAGATTTGTTTCCATATTATTGCTTTATTTCCCCATTTTCTTTATTATTATTGTACATGTTAATGTGATACAGTGTGGTCATTGAATATATGCATATTGTGTACGATGGTCAACTCAGGGTGATATTGTGACATACTCAAGAAAGAGCTAATAGAAGTTTAAATAATTTTTTAAACTAGCACTTGAAAATTGTTGCCCCACTGTCTTAATTTTTGGCATAAAAACAGAAGAGAAGAATGGTGGAGAAGAGCAGTGATTCATCTCCAGTCAATCCTGGGAAACTTCTCAATCATTATGTCCCCAGTTGTGCCCTTCTTTAATCACATTTCAGTTTGTTTAATGTAGAGAAGCTTCTGTAGAGCCTGATGAACCTCCTTGTTTCTCAGTGTATAGATCACAGGATTAAAGCTAGGAGTGACCACAGTGTAGAGCAGGGCAAAGACCTTGGAGAGAAGCTGGGAGTGGACAGCAGAAGGTGCAACATACAGGGCCATGAGAGTTCCATAGAATGTGGACACAACAGCTACGTGGGAGGAGCATGTGGAGAAAGCTTTTCTCCTGTTGGCTCCAGAAGGAAGTCTTAGCACAGTCAATGTAATCCGAGCATAAGATGCCAGAATTAGTCCAAAGGGAGCTGTGAGGAAGACTACAGAAAGAACAAATGTTGTCACCTGGGCCACTATAGGATCTGAGCAAGCCAGGTCCACCAAAGGCATGAAGTCACAGTAAAAGTGGTCAATGCGGTTGGGGCCACAGAACCTCAGCTGAGTCATCAGGACCACAACCAGTCCATCTACCAAGAATCCAGACAGCCAGGCTGTGACCACCAGCCCCAAGCACCATCTAGGTCCCATCAGGAATGGGTATTGGAGTGGGTAGCAGATTGCCAGGTAGCGATCATATGCCATAATAGCCAACAGGAAGCATTCAGCAGTGGCTAGAGAACCAAAAATAAAGAACTGGAGTAAACAACTAGACAAAGAGATGATGACCTCCTGAAGGAAGCCCTCCAGCATTTTTGGCAACACTGTGGAGGTGTAAAGGATCTCCAAGAAGGACAGATTAGCCAGAAAGAAATACATGGGTGTGTGGAGCCTCTGCGAGCTAACCACTACCACAATGATCAGCATATTCCCTATGATGATGGAGGTGTAGACAACAGTGAACACAATAAAGAAAAGGAGATGCAGCCTGGTAATGTCACTGAAGCCAAGGAGGATAAACTCAGTAATAGTTTGGTTTCCTGTGGAGACACTTTCCATGTGGGTCATTCAAGTTTTGCTTGGCAGTAATTGGAGAAATTTTACTGTGTCTCTCTATCTTCCATAGCAATCCTCTTAATATTAATAGGGCTAAAACAAAACAGATAAAAGTGAAAAATGAGAATCATTTAAACAAGTCCTCATCTGCCTTTGTAGCTGTCATTCCTTCACCAGGTCTCATCCTTTCCTGAATTCCTTAATTGTGTATATTCAAGGTTTAGGAGAGTTTAATCAAATTCACAATTTTAACCTTTCAAAACCCTTTAGCCTGTTAATTCCACCTACTGCTTCTATTGTATAATGAATCCCAGCATCCTAATCTGTATAATCAACCATAGCCTGATAGTATGATAAATGATAATGAGGTGGAAGTATAGGTGTTGTGGGAACAGAAAGAAAACAAACCCACACCAAGGTTGTGGGGCAGAGGGTGCAGGAATCAAGGTTAGGGAAGGGTGCCAGAAGATGGTAGCTTGTAAGTTCTGAAGGCCAAGTAAAAGTGAACTGGGGAGAAGACAGGAAAAGCATAGATTCTTGGTAGGAAAGCATAGATGAGAGCAAAGAGGTGAAGCTCTTAATATGAATCTCTATATCACCAGGTAGGGCTTCATTTGATGTTCAAAGTAATGTGTGCTTTTCACTACAGACAATGAGAATGAGTAAAATGATTGGGAACAGAAGAGAATGGTAGAAGAAAAATAAATAATTATACATATTCACCTATGTAAAATTTTAACATTATTATTATCTATGTTATTACATTAATAAAAATCTATTACACAAAGAGTAAGTGGGGTAATAATACAAAAGCCTAAAAAGGAAGTTGCCTAAAAGGTGGAAAACTGAGTAGCTCAGGGACAAAGGCGATGAGAGAGTGTTCACTGAATTCTATAGTAAGAACTTACCTGAGGCCAAATCTGTCTTTGGCATGGAATCCCATTGTCCACTTTCCTCTTCATTACTATTGTAAAATCATTAAAATCTCAGCTAAAGTTTCATCTCTCCCATGAAACCTCCTTGACTAAGAGAGGCCTTTATTTCTTGAGCAATCATGTACTAAGAATCTGGTATGCAGAAGGTATTACATTAGTTGGTGAGGATTAAAAAAAACAGGCCATGACTTTAAGGAGCCTGAAATCTTGTGTAACAGATGCACACATCAACAGAATTGAAATACACCGAAAGATGACTGGTGAAGTGGCTCAAATGATAGAGTGCCTGCTTAGCAAGTATGAAAAGAAATACACGGAAATAAAATTAATTACTAAAACCTGAACAAAATTGTTCTGGGAGGAAGTGGTGCTGGACTAACCATTTCATTGCTATGGAAAATGGAAAGAAGGGAGGTGAGGGTAACTCAGATAAGAAGAAAACCTTGGGTAGATAGTAAGGAAAGAAGCAAAATAAAATGTAAAGAGGAAAAGGAGGTAGTGGGATAAGTATCCACAGGTAATTAAAGGAAACTCATCTCTGCAGGAGCATTAGGATTTAGGTGAATAACAAGGGAAAGCAGAGATTAGAGAGTTGTCTGGTACCAGAGCTTGGGGGCCTTTTCATGTCATAATCAGGATCTGAAGCTTTATCCTGTAGACAACAAGGCACACCTGACAGCTTTTAAATGTTAGAGTGTCATGGTCCCACCTAGATTTGTATAGCATTATTGAGACTTGATCCAAGACAATAAGAATGACACTTGTCAGCAAATACATACAGCAAAGACTACATAAGCAAAGACTGCAAAAGACTACAAGTTCATTAGTACAAGAACCAAATCTTTACATCTACTATGGTATCCAAAAAAGTCTTTTAAAAATATGAAGTTACAGTAAATACCTCATGTTTAAAATGATCTCTCCTCTAACATAAACCCATTCGAATTGGTCAGAGAGAAGTTCTGTACTTTACAGATCTTAAATTCCTAATTTGAGTCTCTCTCTCTGTTGTGTTTAAAGCATCTGCAAACACAGTGTGTGGAACTTCGGTTGTAGCCATCTCATAATCAGATTGTTCCACAGATTCTGTTACCATTCTTGAAACTCCTTTTCTAGAAGGTAGAGTATTCCCTTATCTTCTGCCCCATCTGCATTTTCTTGTGATGTAAATTTGGCACTCCCTCTGTGGACTTCCTTTAACTCCTGAATTATTTTATCTAGTCCAAATCAAATCTTTAGTTTGGATCTGCCCAGGACAGAGGTGAGTATACAAATCAGGCTGGAAGACCTCCAGCAACAAACTGCTCATCACCACTACCTCCCCAGCTCATCACCATTGAATCATATACACCCTTAGCAATTTGTTTCTATATTGAGTCAGGATTTGCCTTTCTATTGTTTCTATTTGTTCTTGTTCCAGTTCATAAATAAAGAAAAATTCATGTGTGTGTGTGTGTATGTGTGACAGACCTTTAACTCATTGAAATAAGAAAAGGTAGGATAGAGGACAAGGTTAGTAAATTCAATGATTTTTTTTTGTGACAGTGACATATGCCTGTTCTGATCCACTCCATGACTTTTTTCTAAGAAACACTTATCATTCTTTTCATTCCAACCATTCTGGATATGTTTTCCAAGGAAAGATGAATGAGCTCAACAGTAAGCCAGGGAAAGAAAGGAATGGAAGCTCCATCAACTTCTAAATGGAAAAGCAAAGAGAGCCGCAGTCAGAGGCATTTGTCCCGGGGTGACAATCTGCAGGGCATCACAAGGATGACAGTCTTTGCAAACCCCAGGAGCAAAGAGAGAGAACCAACTGCAATATTTCTAGGTACCACTTACCTTCACTGTGCTAAGCCAATTCCGATTTTTCTGTGGATGTGGTTAGAAACAGCTTAGATAGAAATAAAAGCAAAGAGTGAAATATAAGTAGCAAGGGCAGCTTAGGGTATTAAGCTATTTTCCAAATTAGTCTAAGGTGGTATAATCTAAACATGAGCAAGTCAATCTCAAACAAGAGAACATGTCCACTTCCTATCTCCGAATTGGATTCCTAATTTAAGTCTCTCTCTCTCCGTTGTGTTTAAAGCATCTGCAAACACGGTGTGTGGAACTTTGGTTGTAGCCATCTCATAATCAGATTGCTCTTTGTTCCTTGTTTGAAAGATCTCCCATGTGAATCTATTTTTGTGTAAGAAAGAAAAGTCATTTTGGATTTTTAGAACACCACATTCCAAAACCTATTGTTCAAAGAGTGGGGAAAAAGAGGAAGAAAAGAGAGTTGGATGTGAGGACTATAGAAAAACGGGGAAGACATAGCACAGCAGGGTGGATGTGAGACTGTCTTAGAAAGAGAGGGATCATGGAATAATGGAAATGAATGAACTTAGAGTTGGCAAAACTCTGCATATAGCTGAATTTGAAGTTGGAAAACTAAAAAAAGGTAGAAAAAGTTTAAAATCAAGATGGATTTCATCTTACTAACTGGTAGGAAAATAAGAATAGTGCAAAAATACTTGCTTATTATCTGACAAGGAAATTATAAACAATCCTAAGTAAAAGCCTTGGCTCTCACCCAACCCAGAATGTGAGATGGCATAGTGCCCTGAACTAAAACTATCACCATTTATGGAAAGAAATTCAAGAAACATTCCAAGAAAACACACTTGAAGAAATATATATGAAATCATAAATTTTAATTTATCTTTTGGAACTAAGAAAATTTTATTTCCTTATGTACTTTGCAGTGTCTGCTAAGCATATTACTTTTTATAAATAAAGCAAACAGTAAGTAAATTTTAATTTAGTTCGAGTTTTTAATCTGCTAACTTTCAAATCTATATAATAAATATATACTAAAGTTTTTTTTTTAAAAACAGCATGATTTTAGGCATAGCCCAGTTTTTCCACACCATAAGAAAGAAAGACAAATATATGAGAAAATTGGAGTGAGAGTGTCTTAATTCTTCCTATACCATAATATCCTCTTTTAAGGTCCAATGTAGGAAACAGCAACACTAGCATTCTTAAGGGAGATTGGGATTTCCTGAAGTGCTTCTTAAAAAGAGACATTTTGATTCTCTAGGTTAATTGAAATCTGTTATAATTAGAGGGGAAATGGCTGTAGAGATAAACCTTTTAGCTTTTTTAAAGGAACTATGAATTAAGCTGTAAAAATGGAACTCTCATCTGACATAGCAGCCCTGCTCTCTAAAGACAAGACTGAAGAGCGTATGTGCTGAGGTCTTCTGAAGACTTCAGAAAGGTGGCATTACCTACCTTCTGTTCCCTCTCTTTTTGAGTTCAATCTGAAATAATATAGAGCATTGATTAGAACTATTACCCTTGTTACCCTTCACTCCTAAGCCACTTTCTTCTCCAGCTGCCATGCTCTTTTCTAGCTCCCAAATTATTCTGTCCTTTTATGCAAGCACTTCCTTTTATTTTAAAGAAGAGCTGACATCTTCCAAGAAGGCCCCTGAGAACCAATTATAATTTTGTGTAAAGCAGCCTTAAATGAACAAGACGTAACAGCCCACTGTGATGCTTGTCTTTTTTTGAGTTTCCTGAACTGTTGGCTTGACTTCACATAGGGCAGAAACTAAGAGCCAATGAAAACCCTCCTTTCTATTCCCTTATAGACAAATGTTCTCCATTTTGTATCCTAAGTTATTATAATTTAATTGATAAATAAAAATTGTATCATTTACAGTGCATAACATGATGTTTTGGTATATGTACATACTATGGAATAACTAAATCAAGCTAATTAACATGTATTACTTCACATAATTAGTGCTACCACTCCCTCTATAAGTCAGTTTTTGGGAACACTTAAATTCTACTCTTTTAGGTTAGATCAAAAAGAATTAACCTAGAAGGTAACACACACACACATAGGAAATCAACGTGAGTCAATGCCCTGTATAGCTATCCTTATCTCAACCAGCAAAAACCCTTTTTCCTTCCTATTATTGCTTATACTCTCTCTACAACAAAATTAGAAATAAGGGCAAAATAGTTTCTTCTGGGTATTGAGGGGGTGGGGGGGAGAAGGAGGGGGCAGAG